TATTGTATTATTTAGCCTCGCTTTTTATCTTCCAAAGGACGAACAACATTCACCTAATACAAGATGTACAAACAACACATCTTTTGTTGAGTTGAAATTATTCAGATTTATGAACGAACAAAAATTAGGTGTACAATGCAAACAAATGGTTTAATAAGCGTTTGCAGAATTGCCAACTGTTCATGTCACCCGTTTTTGTAGTTAAGTTTCGTAACTCACGCATGTATCTATTTGAATTAGTCGTTTTCGGCCACATTATCCTAATAGATAATTAGCACCATCCTCGTATGCTTTCATAGTATGGCTGAATGTGGCAAGTGCGCAATTAAGTCTTCACGAAGAACACTTACCAGGGCGAGCAAACTTAGTGCCAAATGATTGATTATATTAAACATGGGTTCCCACAAAAAACTACATTACATCGTTATTGAAGTTGACCAAACTCATCCGTACGCATCGGTCAGAGAATGCAAGATCAGGACTCACAGTTTAACTTCACATTTAACGATGTGCAATAGTTTTTCCTGTTAGGTTACATTATTTAAGCCTTAGCACGCTGCTTTAAAGCAGATTTACTTTTGTCCCGTCCAACGTAAAGAGGCTGCCAATCGGAGGAAGACGTAATGAAAATAATTAAAAACGTTAGTTTTTTTTCTTCAGTGCATTAGCCCCAAACGCGCCGTGTTAGTTACAGACAAAGCCGAATAACGAAAAAACATGGATGAAATAGCAATGGATAAAGTAGTCCAATATTTATTGCCTGTTCTTGCTGTGTTATTAAAATGCTTAACAAACTGCATACCTGGAGGAATGTAGCGGGGAAATGCCGGCATCTTGTCGCCCGCGAGCTTCAAAGTTAACTACTCAGAATTTAAATAGGGCGAACTAGAAATCAACTGAGGTTTTTACATTCAAGCTTTGAACGTTGCACGATTCACGATGGATATGGAGGTAAAGTCTACGAAAATCTATAGTCAGTCTAGATGGAACGCTTCTCCACCTCCTGGTGGGGCCCTGCTTGAGCTCAATTATGTTTCAATGGTCCCTTATCAATCCTTGGACGAATAAAAAAAAGGGTATTCTTGTCTTATTCACTAAGTTCACTATGTGCGCCTGCCTTCTTGTATCAGACATTTACGTCACCGTGCATATAATAAATTTTACAACGATCACCAGCACTTTAACATTAGCGTTTACATAATAGTAACAACAATAGGGTTCACGTTTTGTCCTCCGCTTCCGGACAACATTTCAGCTCTCAGAACTACTAGCAGCTGCAACTCCAGTTGAAACTCCACGATCAGCACACGAATACACACTGGTTTTCCCCTAACTAGCAGACCCATCAGCGGTATCTATCGATATATTCCCGATACTTTTGTTTTTGGGGTTTCAGCTGCTATTTGATCATACCTGGGGCCGTTGTTGTTGTTGCTGGGCCATTAGATGGGAAGCATACTGACAAAGATAACCTTTTTCATAGTCACAAGCAAAATATCGCTCGATCAAGTCTTGAAACAGGAAACCGCTAGCGTTATGGTCAGGCTGCTATTCATAAGCACAGGGTACACAATCAGGGTAGCAGGTAGGCCTCACATAGATGGCCAGGCTTAGATACATCAAAAGAGCTAAGCTCCGTATGCAGACACTCGGAGATAACTGCTATCGCTGACGATTTAAGGATTTAAAATGATTTATATTCACGCTATTTGCATAGACATACGTGAACAACTAGAGAGTGAGTAGACCTTTCCGCGAGTTAGGCCAATCCACCTGAAAATTATAGACAGGTAATAATAATTCCGATGATAATACTAACCACTATAGTACTAGCGTTATGGTTGCGCCCAGTGATATATCGTACAACTGTAGAACTCGGTAACTGTTAGTTGCTATCAAACCAGAAATAAGCAAGGCGGTCGATCGAAACGAAAAAATCAGAAGGATCGCAGGAAAAACTTCCGGAAAAACAAAATATAGCGGAGATCAATTTCACTGTAGGCACGTACATTCGGTTACGGGAATTACTCTTTCCCAAAAGGAACAATATAACTGCGGATAACATTCTGTACCGAAGACCTTCTATTAGTTTCATTTCCCATTAGGTAAACTCATCAGAATACCCTTCCAATATATTCTCTTTTGCGCGAATGATCTTCCAAGCGATAAAATGACGATTTCCGGATAAAGCTCCGACCAGTTCAATATATAAGATTCTTCTTTATTGTGCTTATCATTCTAAATCCAAAGAGAATAGATGCGTGTGCAGGTAGGAGAGATTTAAAATCGTACAGGTGGCCTAATTTTTAAGTAAGTGACACATATGCAATACCTATTGTAAAGATCAATTTACCGACGATAAGAATAGGCTTTGTTCTTTCAGTTAAAGTAGTTTTAGTTTCTGCTGCCATTAACAGATCAATAGTCATTGGCAGCATATTATTCTGAGAGATATAAAGAAGTCGCGTCACCTACTGTTTAAACCTACTTGATCGTCTTCAATCTCGTCTACCTTTTCAAAAACGTGAACGTAAGCAATAACATGAGTGCTTTAAAACGTAACGTCGTTTGCTGGTGCTCCTTATATATGTTCGAAGAATTTGTCCTATACAGAGTACATCTACAATCATCGGGATCTAATACACATAGCCACATTTAAAATAGGGTGCTACGTACGGATGTTTAGTCTAAGGTTCTAGAAATTAGCCATTGAGCTGTGACTTACATACAACGTTGATATTCAAGATGAGTAAGATCCATTAAAAAGCGCATCAGTAGCTAAAACAATGTACGGTAACCCTGTTCTTATGTCGCTGAACGTATGTACATACGAAGCCGCAACTTAAAAAGTGCTAATAATAATAAATGCTCTAGCCATATTTTACGAAATAGAAAATATAGATTAAAAAAAAATATTGGAACTACACCCGACTTAAGGCGATTAGTTTGGGTACGTAGAACGAACTTGTGAGTAGTCGGTGTGGACGAGCGAAAATTTTGCTGGCGTAAACAAAAATAGACAATACACTCTTACTAAAACGCTTATATCTAAAAACAATACGTTATTTTACCAGCAGAGATTCTTACAGCAGAGCTTTATTACACACTTGATTGTCAAAAGTCAAAGGTCAAAAGATTCGATGTGTCTTATAACTATTTACAACTCTATCCTTTAACAAATGTTAGCACTATCTCTCATTACGTTTCATTCCACTAAATACAAATTTGATCCTTCGGTAAATAGTCTCAGTACGCTCACTGCTAGGCAATACCGTAGGCATACACGTAGGTTTTTCGTCATCAATATACCACTTTGGAACAGTTTGACGTAGGTTATTCTTAACAAAGAATATCCGAGACATCACTGCTAGTCGATCAGCCCACATTTCAGTACAATGTAAAATTTTGAAAAGGATGGCAAAGTCGTACATGAAATACAGCGCATTTCTCAATTGAGAGAGGCATACTAATTACTAGAATCTCACGTCGATAAATTCAATAGGACACCTTATGTGTATAACGGAACGCTCCGTTTAGGATAGTTTTTTGATAACGCAGTTGCCAAACACAAGAAACGTTATATTCTAACTAATTTTAAAATGTAGTCATCTTACCAGCTTAGCTGTCGCTAGATGAAAGTCTAAAATTTTTAGCGGCAAATAGTAAACTTTAAATTTTGATTCAGCTTATATATATATATATATACCAGCACTATGTAGTTGACTAAAAACGTATATACCCATGGAAACAACGCTTTCTAGTGTTAATAAATTATTAAAGAACAAGTATAACATATCAATAAGGAAGTACATTTTGTGAATAGATATGATCTTTGAATTACTAAAAACACGACAGTGAATTAAAATTAATGAATTGAACTACGGCCCGTCCATACTATAATGCGTTTATTTTTCCCTCACACAAATGTGCTATCCTTTGCGCAGATTTATTGCTTTTAAGGAACTTGCATAGCACGTCCCCCTCGAATCAGCTTTCCCCGTAGATATTATGAGTTAACAGAAACGCCGCTACAAATCAAGGCATATTGTAAAGTAAGCCAAGCATAACGGAAGGACGATCAACACTAAAAGGTTCGATATAAGCAATTAGTTGATAAACCGTTCCATCTCGTATGTTCAGTGCCTTGTCGCGAAAATTGAAAGAAAATTTTTCAAGGACCATTTGTATATGCTTTCCAGGATAAGGGCCAGGAACTCAGTGGTTGAACAACTGTGCGATAGTTGCGCACACTACTATTGATATCGATTTCTATTTTTGATGCTTGTTCCAATCGACAGTCCGTTGAAATTTCTTCAGCTACCACACAAGCTAGCACGTCTCTAGCAAAACCGCTGCTCTAACAATTTAATATATTATTGAATTATCGAACTTACCAATGACTTCAACAAAATTGCTCAATTCATCACTTGTCACTTTGATTCACACTTAAATTTGATTGCCTAATCAGTGATCACATGAAGATGTAAGTTACCTACGATATAGGCTGCGAACAGGTGTTCATGTGATAGCGCAGTCGGTACCTATTAAGTTAGAGACATATGGTAGTCTAGGTTCGAATCCCGGCGTAGATTCATTACGAGACCCAGTTATCTGGTTTCACTATCGAACGTGAAAAACACCTAGGCCAACCCATAGCATAATATGCAAGAGCATCGACTTCTCTGCCATGAAGCCAAACGAAGCGACTGAGCGAGCCCGCCCGCATTCGCGTTATGATTCGCCTTTCCTAAGAAGGTTAAGGACTAATGCTGCATTATGAATACTAGCTCACTTTGCTGCTAAGAAATCTGGACTACAACACTAATCTTGTCGGACCCTCGACCAGCAAAACCTGAACCCCACACACTTCTCTGCCTGGATTCGGAACTAATTGAAAAAGTTATTTCAAATTAACTCATGGTAGCCAGCCGGGTAAACGTTTAAGAAGATATTAGGGATCTTACAAAAATAATGACAATTTGCTGTGTGCATATTGAACGTTTCATTTGAGCCCGCCAGGTTTATTGAAGATGTGGTTGCTTGACAGATAGATGCATGAAGCTCTTTTGTCAGGTGTCCGATGAATCAACAAACGCTCAACATATTTACATGTGAACAACAAATTATAGGTTAACTATTATTATAACATTGAGTTTTTTTTGATGATATTTATCCAGTTAAAGGAGTATCGGCGCTGTTGTCTACAGCTTCGGGCTGATGGTGTTCTTCTTTCATAGTTGTCATCATTACTACTGCCACTTATTATTATATAATAAGCAAATGAATGATATCGAACACTCACGAGGCCGCATGCTGTCAACATCCAGAATATGTCCTTCGTACATCGTCTTGTTGGAACACCTATTGTTGGTTGTTGGAACAACAAGTATCTTCGCCCGATAAAGAATAGTTCAGCTAAACTTTGTCCTTTTTAGAGATAAGTCTCTCCGACGGGCTGTACACGAAGGCAAGAAATGTACACATCTGACACGCATCCACAGGGAGCCAAAGGAGCCCACGAAAATACAATTGCACCAACATCCACCAGGCAGCCAATCGAAAAAAAAAATTCAACTTTCTCAGCTGATCGTTCGACACACGGACTAGTGGATGGGGATAGCAGACGACAGCGCGGGCGGCGTAGCTCGTTATTGAAACAGGTTGTTTACAGCAGTAGCGAGCTACCGTTGCCGTAGTTAGCCATCAGTAATAGCGGTACGAGCCAGACAGACTAATGATAGACAGCGCATATCGAACATATGTTGCAAACAGGTGCTATACATATACAGGTTGGCGTGTTATGCAGCGATCGCGACAGCTGTGACCAGCGAAGCACTGACGCCTGAAAGGGATGACAAAGGTCAATCGAAACTCCTTCGCCAGCTAACCGACTTAGAGGGCATGATATAATATTAATCATAATGTAAGGACGATTAATTAAGCGATATTTTGTTCATTCTACTATGTGTTCACGTTTTGTAACAGTCACCTACGAAGGTGTAGATCTAAGTAGCATCAATGGCTATTTAGCGCAGTGTTTTAATTCGGGTCTTATCATTGCCTAAAACTGTCACCATCTGGTAACGTCATTAAGCGCGTGCTCTGGAAGAAATTACTGTGACACGATAGAGAAGATAAATAGGTAAGATGATCTCTTGGGCACAATGTCCTTGAAGTAAGCCGTATTAATAGAAAAGCGACAACAATAACAATTTTCTTACTCTCAAGTGCAGTAGCATAACAGCGTTGGAATAAGGCGTGATGCCCATCGTGCTGCCACACATTGGCAATAGTTGCTTGAAACTAGGTGAGTACGTGGGTCCCCGTAATAACTTCGTAATGAACACGTGGTTTAGGTTCAAGTTCGAGCCCGGACACGCTGTTCGTTTTATGCTGGAAGCTAGCCAGCTGTCTGATGGAACGGCGATCCCAGGTGCAAAACTCGAAACATGGAGACTAGGGCTACTGGGATAGGACATTGATTTTATGGCTAAATACAGAAGTATACACAAGTGTAATTGTGGCATACTGTGTGTTTTCATGATTCCAATTTGGCATGATTTTTTTGGAAAGAGCTATTTAGAAGGTAACACATAGTTCATTGATAAAGTGGCACATTTCCTAGCCTACCGTGGGGTAATCTGTTTGACATTGGAACGGGAGAGAATTTGCACGTTGACTTCTCTTAGGTTTAAGAAAAATGTTGAGCGTTAAAAAACCTAATAGGCATTTTCCTAACTTATTCAACCACAAACTAAACGAAGCTTTTTTTTTTTCTATAAGCTATAGCTATCGGCACAAATTCAAAAATATCGCCAACGGGCTCTAAGCATAAATAATATGAAGCCAAAAAATAGGAACGACGCAGGAAACAAAGATCCTTCAAAGAAGAACATTATCGCTAAGGAAGAAGCATGCTGCACGTGCCATTTGATACGCATATTAATAAGCTTCCTTGGACAACGAAGTCTTAGATTAAATAAACAAGCACGTATGGTTGATTCTTTTATATTTGGGTTAAACAGGTCTTCGCTGAAGTGGAAGATGTGCCACAGTAGAGGTAATCAAGTATATGCGCATAAGTATATCCTAGACGCGTTGCTTGTGGAAGAAAAAAAATAGTAAAAATCTAGTACCACACTACTCGTCATGTAGATTTGCCATAAGTCTCCATTCCTATCAAACAGCTCCAAATATTATCAAACAAACAAAGACAACAGAAAGAAGGGAATTTGCTAGGGAACGAGAGTACTTCCCGCTGTGAAGTTTTTGCGTCTAAACAGCTCAACAGCACTGGACTCATATGTTCCTTTTTGATGTCTTCGGCTTGTACTCAAACATAGTGCGTGGTTTGAACTGAGATGAGACTTAAAGAGATCTTTAATTTCCATTGCAACTTCAGAAGTACGTTTGGCTTGATTGGCAAATTAATAGAATACTCTTGGCCTTCTTAATAAAGTCTTCGATATAGCTTTGGGTATCGTTAATTAGATATTTGTTCGAGTTCACAGATTTGCTTATTCGTAAATCTGTGTACTAGATTGGATTGCTGCCAATTCTATAGGATGGTTAAGTCCCGCGTTAAAAAATTTGAATTTTCTTGTACTTGAACCCCCCGATGTTCCCCCTGACCCGGAAATGTTTGTCTGGATCAGGATGCCAACTGTCCTGAACAAGCCGTTATTCGTGAGACGGGTATTCGCAATTCTGGCTTTTGTACCTGTTCAAGAAACGTGTTTTCCACGATGTCAGACGTCAATTCCTCATCGAATTGATTAATCTAATAATCTTTACAGTGTGACTGGTATTTAAATGTTTATATGTCAGATTGTTCGTGTGTAGATATTAAAGCAAGTCTGTTTTTTCTATTATTTGTCCCCGTTGAAAACGATTTTTAGAGTGCGGATCCTGCCAACAACGGCCTCTCTGACAAAAATACGTTTGGGAAAGGACAACATCAAAGCGAAATTTTATTCAAACCACTTGAGCTACTCATTCAAAGCACTTAAACAAAAGAATTATTGTGAAATATCTTAAAGAAGGCTCCCGTCAAACTAGGTACTAGTTAGGCACTAGGTATTAGTTAATATGTTCAGTGGAACTTCAGACGATCGTCTAAAACAATGTTTGCGCTGGATAACATCACATTTGACAACGTAATGGTAAATCCTTTGGTACAGGGTGGCAAGAACAGTCATCAGTCTTCGGGGAACAACCGCTAACGCGGCATAAGGAAATCTTTTCTTACTATTATTTCCAAAGAAAAATCTTAGATTGTGGTGAGAAAATTTGACATGATCGATCGTATTAGCAATGAGGTATACCGAATAACCATAATATTATCCGGTGCCAAGCGCATAATTAATCAAATGCAGAACTGCTTCCGCTTAGTGGTATAACTAACGAATTCATAAGAACCAATGATATGACAACGACAGAAGAAGAGAATTAGCCAATTGAAAGAAATCCTGGAGTACTTCGCTATCAACCAATGACTAGGGATAAAAGAAAAAGTTCATCAGCAAAAGTTTGCAAAAAAAAATTACCATTAGTTACAATTTCTAAAGCCGGCGACTCAATACATTCGCCTGATCTCGTTCAAACGATTACGTACTTCACTGAATCTGATCGAGTTCTTAATTAAACAATTATTTAGGATCTGCGTCGAACTTCCTAGAAAATTTAAGAAAACTTATTCATTGGCTCTTCATAGTAGCAGACAAAACAAACTTACGATAGAATGTATGTGGTGATCTCGTTTGATTTAATGTACGTTCACCAGCTCTTCATTTAGTAACACTGATAATTATTTTCTATTTCTATTTGAGTTCTACTGAAGGTATTATAGAATTTCTTAAATGACTTAACGCCCTTGTCATTTTGGAACATTGAAAAACGTTGCGAGAACACGGTATGTCTATTATTATCAGCCGAGGCAGGGTTCTTTGCTAGTAGCGTTTATAACTTCGGTTTATGGATCCACATTTCGGATATCCTAGACAAACTCTTTTGTTTTTTAAAGGCAAAGCAAAAAAAAACTCGATGTGAATTTTATGTTTGATTATTTTTTCTCTTTTCATTGCGGTTTTCTAGCCTGGTGAAGTCTTTGGGTGACAGTTTAGTGATATCCTAGTTATGTCTATGGAAGAAGTTTCCGTGGTGTTGCTTTGATATTGAGTGATGCTACAGCGAATGGAAGAAGTGGAGGATTACTTGAATCGTAGCATTATTGATGTTAACTAAGTATCGTTGTTCTAATTAATGAATATTCATTAATACCAAGTTTATAAATGTTAGTTAAGAGGAGAAATCAACTTAATAATAACACTAATAAATCACTTTTTCAGTTTATTAACACGAGCAGTTCAGCAGATATTAACACGAGTCCTGGTCAAATGTTGCTTGAAAAGAGGCATGTGGCGATGCTGTAAGGATTTCGATCATGATGGCATCGGCTGTCAAGATAATTGCGCGGTAGTTGAAGACAGGAGATACAGGAGACTTTTGATTACGACGGTGTTGGTAACATTGGTGACAACTGCCCATTTACCTAAGAGCAACATGGACATGACGAAGGTCTGCCTGATGATTCATACTTAAATCTGTGAAGTTATTTGACAACATAACTGGTGCGATGATGATCGGAAGCTTTCGGACATCAAAGACAAATCATCGTAGGAGAAGCTAAGAGAGCTAACTAGGCTGGCTTAACGACTGCGCGCCATCTTTTTCATACGCAGTGGCCAATTTGTTTACGTGAAAACACTTTATCGTAGCATTAATTTATAATCGTCACGTGTTTATAAGAGCCATAATAAAAAAAAAAAACTCCAATATTATTGAATGGCATTTAATAGAGTACAACTTGCTGAGAGGAATGTCCGCAGTAGTAAAAAATCTCCAACTATGTCGAAAACACAATGCCCGATTTCGAAATTGCGAATAGATTTTGCACTAGACGTACTGTAAACTCTGCTTATGAAAATTTATTCATCCGCCTTATTACGCGATGAAATGAGCTAGCTACACATACATTTGTGTGTAATTGCCGAAGTTCACGGATTCTCGTAGCAAAAAAACGTTCGTCTAAATTGCGTACTGCGATCACCAGCTCTAGTTACCAAGCGACTTGAGTACGAATAATAATTAACTAGAAACAAACGTTAGAGTAAAGAGCTATAGAAAAATTGCAACGACTTTAAAATTTCCTGCCAAAATCTGAGTATGATAAATGGCAGGTTCTATTATTCGTAAAAGTTGAAACCTTTGACTTGCATAGAACTGTGAGCCGACCCACTTTATAACACTGCGAAATCTACTCAAAACGTTCGGCGTTACGTTGACTGTACAGAGCATGCTCGGGCTCCATTGCGCATGCGGGTATTGGTGCTAATCGTTCTTGCTATACATAAGCAAATAACGGAAAACGTACGGTGAGCTAATGAGAACAGCAGCCACGGTGAGAGGGGTACTTTGATTTAAATAGCGTTATAAGAAATGGACGCAGATTAAGTACACTATTACTTGTATCTGACATGGTCTTCGCCTCATATACTGTCTCTATTATAGCTCTTCTTAAGAAATCATGCAGTTGGTAGCAAATTACCTATCAAATACATGATTTCGGCACATTGATATAATAGCGCAGTTTCCAAGTGATTCAAAGCGGACGTTTGAACATCTCATCGGTCCTATCATTTGAAGATATCCAATTATATGTGATGTGGCAAGTTAACGGTTGCAAATAGATTGCTTCGTTATGAACAATGAGAAGACCGCGTAGCACTAATTCTAAAATAGTTTAATGAAAACAAGCAACATGAATCTTTCGATTGGCATTTTTAGAGTACATATCATGCATCAGTTAACGTGGCCCACAATGCGACGTCTCGTGTACGCGTTCAGTGATCTGTAAGGGTGATCTGAAATATACAAACGAACTTGGTGTGTATGTACAAAGGACGCCCACAGAATATGTCTTTCAGCAGTACGAGTGTTACAATGTGTTTGCCTGTACAGTAAATTCGGCGTCGTTGACGGTGTCGTCTACAACACACACATAGACATTCATATATATCGAATGTTTGGACCAGTGAAAGTTGGCGACAACGGCACATGGCCTTCGCAACTCCCCTGAGCGAACGAGGCCAGGATGATGGGTGTCGCAAATCTTGATAGGCTGCGTCGACGTCGGGACAGCTGGCGTAAAGCCAGAGGACGTTTGTTTGAACAGAAAGTAGAAATGCGGGATCTTACAGGGCCAAAAAGGATAAACGGGATTGGACGTGCATCCTACGTTTGCTTACTGGCGTTGAACTTCACAGATCAGCAGGGAGCCACTGACCAGAGATTTCTTGTGTAAGTACACACAATGCAGTGCTCAATACAAGAGTAATCTGAAAAATATTCGAAGATATAGAGAACAACTGGTGCAAGCATTCTGTGCATAAGGATTTATTAAGCATCATAATACCCTATGCATCCCTTAAGCTGGAGTCTAAATGGCGAATAGCCTAAACACCAGGTAGGATTAACTAAAGTATAATTGGAGACGATTGCCAGCTAAATACCAATAGAGTTCCAGCTGTGAACCTTCAGTCATCTTTTTTTCGACCAAAAAGACAGAGGAAATTGATCTTTATTTTCGGTGAAATTGCTTAACTTTTCAATTAACAAGTGAATAAAGCATTTTCTGCTGTATCAACAAGTAGCGGTCATATTGTTTACATGTCTTCATTCAATAGAAGAAGCGTACCAAAGGTAGGTAGTTATAAATAACTGTATGTGACGTGAATAGTACCGACTGTTTAACGTTGGTCAAACTCCGCTTGGAAACTTATTTTTGTGATTTCCAAAATCATGAAAAGGCTACTTCGGGGGGCGCAGGTGAAGTAAAAAAAAACGAAAAGGAGGCCCGCCAACAGTCTACCGCTTCAAGCACAGATGGAGGTGCGATTGAGAACGGGGAGACTGGTGGACATTGAGAGTCTCCAAAAAAGAAGCCGACCATACAGTACTCGCTGAAGGTACGCTCAAACTAACAATGAAAATTTCATCTCAATTCTTCTTTTTTCAGTTCTTTCCTACTTCTGTTTTTCTGCCACACCAGCGCCTTTGATGACGATGCGACGGCTGGCCTAGGCTGGCCGAGAGCTGAGCCTGCAAAACAGTTTGGTACAGCCGCCTCTGCTAAACAGCAAGCAAGAGAACGAAGAGGTGCGCACCAGTAGGACGCTGGCCTTCTATTGTGAAATAAGATGAGGTCAGCATCTTCGACCTAGAAACGAAACGCTAAACGATTTCACTGTGAGATCGATAGTTTGTTTTAATAATGAAATAAAAAAATGGCTAAGAAAGCAGATAAGGCAAGCGGCAAAGTGAGGATAATTTACATTTAACATTGTTTTCATTATGGGTTCTAGTATAAATAGCTTAGCGAATTTGAATAACGTTGCGTTGCGTTCTATTTTAAAGAACTTCTTTTTTTTATTTTTTAAAAAAATCTCATTGTACCGGGTGCCTGTCAAACTAGTGCAGTCCTACAAGGCTGCGCTCTATGCGTTTGATGATTTGCCGTCAAAAGGAAATCAACGAGAGATACAGTTGAAAAATAGATTTATTTGCAAAGGACAGGAATTTCTTATTCTTAATATCCCTGATACTAATAAAACGATAACAATATCAAATAATTCGACGTAGTGAGAAAATTAATCCAGTTTATTATACAAGCAGCTTTTCACCTTTCATGTTACCTGACCCAAGTACAGAATGCACGTTTTCTTTTACGCAGCTTTGTAAGTCTTCCGAGTTTAGGTGATTTTTCTGTAATCCACTACAGGTATTCGTTCACGGAGTGCAACCGGTGTTTTCTAGGTGTTGGCTGATGCTCAGCTTCTTAGGGTTTCCCTTCATAACCGGTTCGTTGCACTTTTACCTGTGTCCGCTTATCCGCTAAGGAGTCACGTCTTGCCAAGGGCTCGACTTGGCGATTTCTGATTTACCGCAAAACGGCTTGCTACGCACACTTTCGACAATATATCCACTTACCCTCGATTCCCCCCGTTTCTTTTTCTCTTCTACGCCTTTTGCTGGCCTACCACTGCACCAACCAGCGGATTTCGCCCTTCGATTGCTCTCTACCTTTGCCCCTTTTTTTTGCGCTGGCTGATAGATTACCATTAGCGCCAAACTTACGGCTAGTTTGGGGAATATGAATGACCCACATTATCAGTCGCGCACAAATAGACCTAGACGGTGTGGTCGACACCGGTTTCCACTTGGTCAGGTTTGGAAAATAAGAAACAACTATATGAGTCTAGACAGTTTACGAATATGAAGAAGGTTTAGAATGCTTGAATGCCTAGTCATCATACCGGCAAGGTTCATTGCATGTTGGCCGTACAAAGCAAATAGATCTACATACACATACGGAAAGAGCCCCTGATTGAGACAACTACCTCTTCGACGCGATGCTAGACTTCAGGTGCTTTTTCAGCTCTAACAAAAATTGCTTATGGTCCATCAACTAACTGTCGGGCTACGACGTAAATCGATCAATCGAATATACGTACACGTGTGTGAGCGGCTTACTCAGAGCAGTTTTGTACTGTTAATAATCGCTCAGTAGTATCGCTCGCAAAAACATCCGAATGTTATAAAACCAGATTATAATAATTAGGCGATATGTGGAAATGTCTGATGTTTATTTAAAAAAAAAAACAGCGAAATTTTGTAACAGGAATTAACTTTACGTTAGAGTTCCTGCAACAATACTGCGCGGACCCATTTCGCACTACCCATAGACGCTAAGTAGGCACTTCTGTTCCTTTACCGATCATGAGCACCGCTTATCACCTTGCACTGCCCGTGTTATCTTCTCAGGGAAAAGATAAGTGGTGGCGCAGGTTCGAACCCGGGCGTAAGCACAGCTCGCTTGACGTGATGACGAAGTACCCGACATAAAATGCGAAAAACGTATTTCAGTTTTTTCAAAGTCACGTTTATCAATAAATACAATTTATCACCTTTAATTCCAATAAAACACTATTTTCAGGGCGGAATTCGCTGAAAACAGTAAGATCATCGTCAAGATTAAGCTATGTTATTTCTATAACCAATATGGTTTAATTAATTTCTAATACGGATAATGTTACGGAATTTAGGCATGTGCCAATGTTAAATTGGATTGCTGTCGAGTATATGTCGAAAGCTTAGACATTTTAGTACAAGGTTTTGTTCATAAGATGTCATTCTTATTTATAGGTGTTGAAGTGAGCTGTGTGATTTTAATGTAATTTATGAAATGCAGAAGTATCGATTGCTGAATTAATTGCTTTCAAATTTCCAAAGGGTCCCCGTGATAACTTAGTGGATAACGTATCTGTGCGGTTCGAATCTAGGCATAGGCACACTTTGTGTCGTTCTCGAAAACTAGATATTTGCGCACCGCGGAGAAACAAAGGCTTAACTTGAAAGCTTTCAGCAACTTGTATATGGGAAAGTGCTGTGTTCGCAAAAAGCGTGCCATATTTGATTGCTTATCCTATTGCAATCGAATGTGGTGCGGTTTTTAATGTTTAAGGTTTGAATTTAATTAATTAAGAAAAAACTTAATTTAAGGTATATATCTATATATTAATTTGTACCTATTGGATTGACAATGAAAAAATTAGGCTAAGATTTTTCCGTGATCAGCGTGCCGTTCCGATCTAAGATTCATAGACACTGTATGATATACTTGTCCCAGACATAGCATCACTTAAAAAACGTATCGTTCGTAATATTTACATAAAGGATGTACCGTTACTTCATCGAAATATTTTATTTAAATTAAAAAAAAAGTGACAAAGAGCGATCGCATTTTAGGCTAACTAGTTTTAGTTGAAAGCCCTTTTATAAAGTTCATGGACAAAACTTGCAAACGACTGGGGCAATTAATGCGACCCTCCATCCGTACTTAGAAAAAACTAAATTTGGTTAAATTATTACTGGGCTATCATAGGTTGTCCTTCGGTAATTCCAAGTAAATGAATTATATGCCGAAAAATGTTAAAGTCAATCTTTCTGTCCACAACTATAAATAAAATAAATGCCAATCCTCTGCCGTATTTTTCTTCATTTTGATCAAGTTCCTATATACAGCGTAAACGGACATATGTAATCAAATAACGAGAGCAAGTAACTTATATGTAATGCGATTTTCTCCTAAAAAAAAAATTATATAAAAACATGAAAAAAATCTTTCACAACCACAATGTGGACGCTAACGTAATTAGACGAGATTGATCACCAAAACTTCTCGAAAATACTTTTTAGTTTATTCTACAGTGTACCCTATTTAATTAATTATTTCGTGTTCGTAACGAGTCCAAACTTTCTGCATCCGGCTGAATAGCAATCAAAGTTGTAACTTTAGTAATGTATCAATGTCTCCCAGTAGAGTGCTTGCCTCAAACCGGCTTTAGATGTAGCCTATCTCAAATTAATGGTTTCTGCTAAACTCGTACAATGTACGTACGTATCCTAATATTCATGTGATTATTTGAGATGTTTCTATTGGCGATTTGCTTCAAACGAATGTCGGTCAGTCTCTTGAAAAGGTTAAACACTGTGCAAATATAGCACTCATTTAAATAGTCTGATGAAGGTGCGAGTAAAAAACTGCTAGAGATCTCAAGGAAAACCAGTAGTAGGAAAAGGTTACCCTTACTAGGAAAAGGTTAGCTAGCAGGTTTAACAATGTAGCGTCGGTTGATCTTTTGGTCCGTTCTTTGACTATAGTAATCAACGTCTATAACGCAGGCTTGATATACATGAGCTAAATAAGGTAATTCAGACACTGCTAACAAGTATAATGCCGTAATAAAGCTTTAAGCTGTACAGGGCATAATGGTATTATTTAGTAAAAATCTACTCGATTTCCCTTAGTTCACGGTATCATTTATCGTCGACATTTAAATCTAAGAGAAGACTTTGTCATGTCTTGGACACTGCGTTGCTTAAGCCGCAGCGCCAATTGTATAGAATATTAGAGTCCCTCTCTGCGTTCGGTTTTTCCCCGAACTTTTTCTCCTTAATGAGCCATAACGAAATAGTAGACGGTAACGGTTCTACGTCTCGAATGGGCTGAAGAGGGATAAAGAAAGCTAGCGGGCCGAGTGGGTCACGACGTTATTTAAGCACATTAGCAGAGGATATCCGGCCGATGCCCGATTAGATGGCTATGTGTCCAGCAGATATCGCCGCCACATAGCATCGTGCCATGTCGCTGTGTAGCGTCTTATACCAGGCTCACGGAAAGAAATAGAGTTTCATCGTGGGACCGCGCAGAAAGCGAAAAAACGATAAGGACATATTTCGATACATAGATACCCTATTATACCGATGTCCGTAGTAGTACCATCGTATAGCATTTCGAGAAGCGCAGGCTGTATGAGAGCAACAATGCACCGCTAAGGATGAAAGAAGAGAAGTGAAGCAAGTAGTCATCTTCCGTTGCCGAGCGTCTGCAGAGGTGATTAAGAAACCGTGGCAGTAACAATGGCTATGGGAGTTGCTACATGGAGGACGCGCGAAGATTGGGAGTTAGAACGCTGTGCAGTAACACGACCGAAAATGGAGCTGGCTGGAGCACATCACCGTTGACGGCTGCAGCCGCGGCCGGTGGCTATGTCACGACTCATGTCAGCGCTTGCGCAACGATGATACCAGCTGGGCACGTTGGAAACTCAAAGGTCGTTCGGATGAATGTCCAGGTACTCTCCCACCAAAAGAGACATCGGCGGTCGCGCTCTCGGTGACCGAAAGGACAACAAAGGCATCGGATAGGACAAGACTAGAAAGTGAGTGACTAAAAGGGATGGTATAAGAAGAAACTAATAGCAAAATTTAAAATAAGAAAGCACCAGGGAATGATTTTGTACTGGAGTACCAAAACTAAAAACGAGGGTGGAAGCACAGAATTAAAGAGGAAGACACGGTCGCCTACGTAAACACTATATAAGATTGTCATGGTTTAGGTTGAAAAAAAGGACGTCACGCCAAGCGCAAACGTGCACAAGGACAACCACTAAAATATTAAGATAAGACATAATATGCAGGCACCGTCAATGGTGTAGGAAAAAAACGGCTAGTTATTGCTGCTTACCCTTATCCAAGCTGTTGTATAAATATATTCTAGCTATTATATTAATTGTATTATTTTTGTATATTATTATGTGTTTGTTTATACATCCGTTTATTTATTTGATCCTCCAAAGTGTAAGGAAATAAGATAAACGCGTCGTCATAATTCTAACGATAATAATAATAACAATTATCACTAGAATTATGATTTTAGCGAACTTTTTTCTGATTTACGGTTCAATCTTGGTATCACACAGCAATAGCGACTTACACATAAACTATGTTTTCTCTTACACCAATTACTCTATTGGTGGCAATTGGTTTATCCTAGGAAACTTATATGCTTCTCAGTGGATAATTACATACAATAGTAATTTACCAAATTTTTCATGAATCTGGACAGTTT